ATCACCAAAAACCAACAATGAGATGTCTTACTAACATAGTTATCTTCATCCTTGGGTTCGAAGCTTGGGAATTGAGCAGTCTCTTCACAGATAAGCTGTACTGTTGAATATATGGGGTCGATAGTTTTATCTCTGCAATGATATGCGTCAATGTTAATTTTGTTTTTTCTACTAAACTGGTTAAAACAAATTTAAGTCAGATATTTTGAACGCTTGAAGAAGAGTTTTCGATCGCAAGCTACCTGGTTCAATAAAAAAAAAACCCTTTAGAGGGCTGGTATGTCGGGCTGAGGATATAGCAACCCTTAGCTTTGAAATAATTGAATTGAAAATGGCGCCTAAAAGACAATTTAAACATAAGAGAGGGCTTCCATTTGATTGAAAAAAAAATACCTACTTTGTTTTATAAACCAGCTCAATCTGTCCTTCTTTGTTTAGTGCACATCTGACCCCAGTTTGCACACCAACTTGATGGTATTCCCGCGGTTTTTCGACTTTAGCATATTGACATATCTAATTGAAATTCATCAATAACAATTAGCTTCCTGTCGTTTCAAATTGGAATTTCTATAAAAGGTGCTAAAATGTAAAAGAAAATAAACACATTTACCCAGAAAAAAAAATTTTCCAAACATACCTTGGTAATGCTGACTTGCCAGAATTATCGGAAACAGGAAGCAATAAACATAACAAAACAAAAGCAATGACAACATAACAATGTAAAAGTTAAGAAATGAGAGTTTGTCTGATGAACTTACTCCGATATCATGACATAATGTTTTAGGATCTGGATCATCTCGGTGAAATGTCATAGAAGTACAAGGGTTGTAAGCATACAACCAGTCCTTGTACTTCTTTCCAGGAACATAAGGAAAGCTATCGTCCAGAAAAAAAAAACTATTAGAACATAAGCACAAGAGTGTTATTCGGGAGGGAGGCTTATACTTCAAAAACCCTACTCTCATTCGGAGGCATACCAGACTGTTTTCAACTTTCTGCATCATCTCTTTTATTGAAAAAGACGGGGACGTCACATGATTATTAAGAACCCCTCGTGATTCCTCCTCCCTTCCCCCCTTCCCCCCCTTCCCCCCTTTTGAAAATAATATTGGACAGAGCAACTACTCAACTGAACGGACGGATCACCGTGCAAATAAATGAATTTTCTGTGATCAGCTTGAGAACTATTCATGATCATGAACGCCATTCTCCATGATTATGACCGATATTATTCAATATTATCCCTGGTAAGGAGGATGAACATCCCGTTACAAACATCGTTTCATCTTCACTTCGAAAAAAAAAACACACGATCGAAAGCACTGCAAAAAAACTTGACATACCGTGGTTTTTTTATTCCTTTGAAGGGCCACAGGCTGTAAAAGCTACCATTAGATGTCTGACACGTGCAGTTGTTTATTGTTTGAATGTTCTGGGCGATGCATCCGTTCATCCACCACAAAAAAACCAATCGTAATAGGTATTTGTTCTGCATATTAGCCTAAAGAAGGAAGAGAATCTATCAAGACATCATGCATAACACTGTGTGAATAACCTGAAATTCGTGAATGAATCTGAAGTCAGGCAGATTTATACTTGAGATAGTATGTCGCTGAAGGAACGGAGTTACATATTTTAAAAGCCCAGCTCTTAGGAATTCGAAGTTTTAGGGCCTTGCCAATTCAGGGCCTCACGTTCTTAACAATGTACCTTTTCTCTGTCATTGTGAATATGTTCTTTTAGACTCAAAGAAGGCCAAATGAACCGTCCCTATTGCACTCGTAATAGCTCGGAAAAATTTTTTGAAGGTTTTCTCTGAACACAACAGATATTTGAAAATGACTTGTCTAGTGCTTAAAATGACTTGTTTAGTGTTTAGTGATAATTTAAAGAACGTTAGACTGTGTACATCCTCGGCACGATAAATAGCTAATGTTTGGTTTCCATGGATAAAATCTACACAAATTGATCAATATCACGGCCTTGGTTTTTCTTGGAATCTCCATGATACACTTACCAGACCTGAAATATCATCCTTTAGCGCTGTAATTGCTATTTTATATGAGTTTTTTTTATCTTATACTCTTGCCGAACAAATTTACACAGAGATTGAACTCTGTTGACAAAAGAAAATTCAAACAGGCCATAAATCAGTTCAGTGCTTCCGTTTAGCGTCAGAGAATGCACGGTTCACTGTACAAACATCAAATGTTATTCAACAATGCTGAATGATAGAATCGCACAAACCTTGAGTGTTTTTGTATGTCTTTATCATGTAGAAGTAGATCTCTACCACCTTGTCGCGGACAAAAGCTTTTCCAAAGAGAACAATTCTGACTCTTGTTTTGGCTGGCCCCTTATCCGAGACGGAAACATCACTGTATAGCCAGATACAAGGTTTTTAGTGGAATAGTCATCACATGATCAACTTCCGCTCTACCCAGAGTTTATGGCTTATTAGACATCACAAGACCGGAATTAGAATACTCAGTGAACTTAACCAACACTAATCTTAAGAATGCTCAAGTTTACCTCAACAAATCAATCTTCAGATCGGTATCAAGAAGCGGTAAATCGAATGTTAGTAAGGTTACTGTATTGGAGACTTAGTGGACTGTGACCTTATTTAGTAAATGATTACTGGAAACGCTGCAGACTATAATGATTCTATTTAAGGTAGGCAACAATGTATCACGATATAAAACGCAGAAGTGGGTTTAGCGAAATCACCCTTCTAAACCGACAATGGTGAATCATTTTGAAGCATTGACGATAAAATGGCGATTAGGGTAATTTTATCAAGAACGCAGAACAATTAATGCTAGTTTTATGAAGGCAAACATGTTGAGGCACATAAGATAAAAACAGTGTAAAAACAATGTAATTATAGACGACTCTTGAGTCCAGTGACACCAAGCTTCTGTTTACATTTTTGACCCGTAAAAGTACGTTTATCAAGGGAAACTTTTCAATGATAGAAAAAGAGCTTACCAAATTATTTGACTTTCTCCTCGTTGCCCCGTCAAATCATCTGGCGAACAAGTAGTGGCTATTGCTGATGTATTCTTCGCAAACAATCACTTTTGGCATTTTGCTTACGAAAAAAATTCATTATTTGATCTCTGAGAAATAACCCTATTAAATGATCGTCACATTCTGATATCATTCCGAGAAATGATCTGTCGGCTGATGGGTCGTCATGTGAAAAACATCATCCGGAATTTCCGAGAAAAAAAATATTGATCTCGTTTACAGTGACATCGAGTGTGACACCGTTTGGGAGAGGGCTTTATTCTCGTGTTCCTGACGGATGAATCTAACTCATTGGTTGTCTGGTAGCAATTAAATGCGCTGGATATCTAATCTTTTTTATTTAAAACCCGCAAAAGTCGATACACGGATCTTTAAAATTCTACTTAAGACCCTCGCAATCTGTACTTCCATTTCAAGTTTGGTGGTTGAATCAGTAAAAATAAACATGTGCAATAGTTCTAAAATACTCAACTTGCACGATGAATAAACCAAAACTTTTCTCGAATAGTAAATGTAGATCGGAAAGGTAACTATTTGCAGAACATGTGTTTGTCATTCTACTTAAGCGATGGAGTCTGTTCGACCAGAAGTTTCACAATCGTCCGGTTATTGCGCAAGTATGGAACAAATTGACATCTAGGCTAATTCTGAGAATTGTTTTGTCAGTCACGAGACTGAAAACGAAACTTCCCATGGAGTAAAGGGGATAAGGGGATAGCTCCCAATGTGTGGTTAATATTTATTTAAGGTAGAGTATTAATTTGTAATAGTTCGGAGCTTTTTACAATTGAACTATTAAAATTATTGAAAATATTGCATTTGTTTAGTCTTCTGCAATGGTTTCGGCTGGAAAAGCGTGGCGGCCTAACGGTCATAGCGCCCTAGACATTCTACAGGTGTGTAAACGGGTGGAGGCGAATTTAAAACAAGGAGTAACCATGTGATGGACTAGCATCCCTTCCAGGGGGAAGGGAGAGTAGAAATATTTCGTCGCTTAGGCTGTATGGGCTACTGGTCTGACGCAGACCTTTTTTAATTCTAATACGTTCATCTCCATGAACAGTTCCAATAAGAGTTTTTTTTTTTTGAGGGGGGGGACCCTCAGAGAATACTTTCGTATTAAATCATTTAATTAAGCTGTGAACTTACCATTAGTTTTTAATCATCAATATTCTTATTTATTTATCAGTTTACTTTTAATTTTTTTAAAATTTATTATTTTTCAGTCATACCGGGAATTCCGGGTATTCCGAGTATACCGGTTCCGGTTCCGAATTCAGGCATTCCATATTTTCCAAACTACCGTGCTTACCAAAAACTGATCAAAGGGTCTTTTATCAAATATATTGAATTACACTTAAGAGCGCGTGACGAGCCACCTAGTGTGACTTTAAAGGTTATTAACCAAATCAAACAATGAACAGAAGGATAATTCTGTAAAAGACCGTTATTAGCAAACGTCACTAACCTTCCTCGTTGCTCTCGCAAATCATCTTGTGATCAAGAGGTGGCCATTGTCGATATATTCTTCGCAAGCAATCACTTTTGACATTTGACACAATCATTCTTCAATGGAGAAATAACCCTTTTAAAAATAATGATGGTTACATTCTGATATCATTTCCAGAACTGATCTGTTGACTGATGGGTCGTCATGTGAGAAACAAAATCCGGAATTTCAGAGAATAAATAATGACCTCATTTACAGTGACACTGAGCGTGACATCGTTTGGGAGCAGGCTTTTAGGAAATTTCCGGAAATTTCAAAATTCAGTGACGAGTTTGCAAAGCCAAGATTCACTTCAAAGTAAGATATTAATACTTAAGAACTTGCCTAGAAGCCTTTCCTTCGAGTGGGATCTCTGCGGCGGGAATATATCTTTTCTTTTGTCTCGTGTTCCTAACAGATGAATCTAACTTACTAGTTCTCTAGTTGTATTTAACTGCTCTGGATTGATAAAATTTGCACTAAACAGCGCGCAAAAGTCGCTACACAGATCGTTTAAAATTCTAGGAAAGGCCTTCGCAGTCTCATACATCCATTTCAAGTTTGTTAGTTGAACCGGCAGAAAGATACAAGTTTAGGCACATCTTCGATTTCCGGTTGGGAATTTTTGATTCTCTGTGCAATAGTTTTAAAATACTCAACTTTGCACGATGAAGGAACCAAAACGTTTGTTGAATATCCATCGGAAAGGTTACGATTTGCGAAACATGTGTTTGCCACTCTACATGTACGCGATGGAGTCGGTTCGACGAGAAGTTTCGCAATCGTTCAGTTATTGCGCAAGTATGAACAATTTGACATCTAAGCTAATTCTGAGAATTTTGCTGATAATCACGAGACTGCAAACGTAAACTGAAGTTGAAAGATTTCTTTTCACAATGACTGCTTTTCAATTCCAATGTACCGTCCTTTCTAAATTGAATCGGCTTTGATACAGTCTGTTTAACTTAACTCCTCGATTAATCTCCTCCAGGCTGAAATGAATATCAAACAGTTTTTAGGACTCATTCTATTATGGTGTATCAATGACTGTACTGGCCAGGGTATTACTATAGTCAACAACTGTACCTGTGAGACATTCGATGGAGGAATGTACAGCTTGATGCCGCTGCGTAGAACAGACGGTAAACCAAGGTACACAAGGTTCTACGATCGAAAGTTCACGGTTGGAATGTTCATATTGGTCACCGAAATGAGTTTCTTAGGCTGACGCTTCGCGCGTTAGCCCTTCGTCATTCGCTCTGACGAAGAACCAAAACTCAAATGTCAGCTTTAGAAACTCTTTACGATGGCCTATCTACATTATCGACTCATTTGATTAAACCAAAATATCTTAAGTTCTTTAGCTGATGATGACCTGTTAAAATCAAGTAGATACTGGACCTCAGTTTTGCCCATGTATTTCGGGAGACAGCTCATGCTTACTGAGTTCAGCAACACCATGATAGTGTGATCCAGTGGGTTTCTTTTCAATGTTATTAAAATAGATTTTTGATTCCTGGCAAGAAATATCCTGGTTGGCGATACACGTACAATCCTTGTACACCTGTAGATGTGGGAGAACATGATCCTGATGCCGATCCTCACAAAATATGTCGAGATGTTGCTGTGAGTTTATCCCATGAGTTTATCCCATGAGTTTTGGATGATTTCTCCTCTAGACGCTTTTGCCACTGCTTTTATCGCAATTTTGCTTTTGTTTATTTTTTTTCTGTTTTTCCATTTTATTTTGCTGATATTTTTATTATTTTCACGGTTTCTGTTGTTGCTTCCTCTAAATGCAGTTTTCTAGTGTTCTAAGTGTAGTTCTTCCTGCCTCTTCTTTTGCATATCTTCCTTTTTAACTACCTGTTGTTGCCTTATGAATACAGTATTTTCATTTAACGTTACTTAATACAATTATATAGCAACTTCATACTTTGAATAATTGCTCATTCCATTATGACATAGTCATTTTGGGAAAGTCTTTTGATGATTTGATGATTTTAATTATTGAAAAAGAACTATATTTTTATGCTTATGATTGATTCTTGGAAATAAAGTGTCCTTTCGACCACTTCAGATTTGCAAATACGCCGAGATTGAGAAACCACGTGAGTACTTTGAGGTTGGTTTGCAGAAAGACATCATGTGTCAGATAAATCAAGAGGGACAGATAGAGCTGGTGTATAAGACTAAGTAAGCTGTGTTTCGATATCTTACCATGAAATTAATTCTGTTAAGCTTGTTTTTTGACTAAAGGTCAAAGACTTTCTGATATCACAAATCATAGTAATTCACATCTTGACCCGGAATCCATGTGAATACCGTACATCGACAATAATTATATTTACAGTTACCGATGCGCAAACTGTTGCCAGGCAACCCTCCTCTGCATTTCGGGGAGAGAATAAATAACATGTAACCCTTGAGAAACCTGACGTGTGCCAGAAAAGAAAATCAGTGGACATATTCGACCAACCAAAGTTGTGCGTGCGCGAAAAAATGATCATGACATTTTCCTGTCAATTCATGTGGATGTGACATGTCTCATTAAAACAGCTTTACCAGGGTTGGTTACATTTATATGGATAAATTTGATCAAACTGCCTTCCTAAACATATGGTGAATAGGCAAAAAATATCATGTCTCTTATAGCTAGGTCAAATTTTAGAATTTTTTAAAATCCTTTGCTTTCCAGCGATCCCAGCATAGATAATCCACATTCTAGAGTGGTGTTCCTTTGCGATGAGTCAGCTTCAGAGCCAGATTTTGAGATCGTGGATGAAGACAACTATGTTAGTATATCTCCTCATAACACCTCTCCTTTCCTACTTAAACTTCAGTACTTTACACGCGTACTTTATTGTACGTGTATTTGCAGCCCTATAGAATGTGGATTTAAGGGTGTACATGCATTACTTCTAAGATGTGATAAGATCAGTTGCTTCTTCATCTTTTGAACGCAGTTGGACAATTATACTTCACGACCAAATACACTCATAGCTTTTATTTAGGAATGTTTAGTTTTAAACTTTTAGGACTCTAAATGAGTAATCTTATCAGAACTGGGTCTCCTCGAGCTGGTTAAAAGGATTTTAATTTACGATAGCAGGGATTGCGGATTGGATAAAAGGCTTGGAAATTGGAACTCCACAAAACTTAATACTTTCAATACCACCCCATCCCATCCTAGATACCCCAAACATTCCGATTATTTTTGTGCTATTTATGTTTTTGCATTACTAGATAATAGTGGAAATCAATTCATTAACTTTAATCTTTATATTTATGCAATCAGATTTTTTCCATTAAACACTACTGTGCCTGTCGAAACCGCTGCCCAGCCCTCTATGGATCCGCACCAGATTCTTCTCCAGGCTTAGTGGAAGCAGAAGTTCAGTTGAAGACTTCCACAGACGCTAAAAACGGTAATGCATTGTTATCTGTTTGGTTAGTGGGTAAATCTGCCTTTAAATAGGGGAAATGAGAAGGATGCACAGATCATGACTTGACAAAACATATTGGTATTCTTCTACTAAAAAGGGTCTGAAAAGGCTATCACGAAGGTCACTACAAGAGTAGGGTTAACAAACGCCACACCATGTTATCTCCGCATTCCATCGACCGCAATCCTCATTAATACCGTTTAGATGGAATATGATGACCCATAAGAAATAAAGCCGCTGTTGAAATGAGCTTTTGAACCGCTTTTGAATTTTTTTCATTTCTTTATTTATTTTATTTGATCTTACCTATTTGTCTATATTTTATTTTCTCCGCAAACCATGATTGCTTCTTGGTCATCAAATGATGCGATTGGTATAAATTCTTTTGCTGTCAACTTTTTGAAGCATTTGATTTGTGGGCAACTGTTTTGTGAGGTGTATCCTTTTTACACTGGTTTTGCTACCTCTGTATTCCGCTTTCTTCCAAAATTTATAATTATTACGAACATTAATCCACATCTGCTTTTTCACTCAGGGATAGGAACCACTTTATCAGTGTTAGGGGTTGCGATTGGAGCGATTGCTGCTGCCGTCATCGGAGTAGCTCTGTGGCGAAAATTTCGAGACCATAGAGAAAGTCAAGAAGCACAACACCTTGTGGATTATGATGAAATTTCACTCAAATGAAGTTAAAGAGTCATGATTAATTCATGTCTCCCATTTATTTCCTGAACGAATGTTTCCCTCAGGTGGGATCATTTTTTATTAAGTTGCTCAGGCTGTAGTAATTTCGCAAATTAAGAATTTGAGTTTTAGAACTAAGTTTGCGCTATTTTGCAATATAATCAGGGCAATCTGATGTAAATTTTATAAGTACTATTTCTTGATCTCCTTGCCAGGTCCATTTACATTTTTTGAATGAAGGAAGTTGTCCACTTAAGCCTTTTTCAGGAGATTTTTTTCCAAGGCTAATGATAAAAATTAAATAGCTTGATCAACACATATTCATTTTACTAACTATTGTTATTAATAATTATACTATTATTATTATTATAAGATAACATGAGTTAGAACTCGAAACTCCAGCGGCTGCGGCAGTTATCAATGATAGGTCTTTTGAAAGCCTTAGAGAATTTCCACACTTAATCCTAATTCATAGCCATTTCTTGATAGCTACTTGCTGTAATGGTTCAGCCGTGCTAAGGTGGAGGGTGGAGGGGTATTATCTGAGGTGATAGTTTTTCCATTGTCCTATTCACAATGACAGTACACAAATACACGTTTTCAGGCGAAATTGAGTTATAATTATGTCTTTTCCAGTGATGAGCTGTTTATGTTTGTGAATTTAATCGCATATCCCCTCCGATTTAACATTCTTTTAGGCAAAAGTGCTCAGTTTTAAGAAAAGGAGCCACCTTAAAGTGCATTAATTCCTTTAAATCTTTTAAAGGTGGAATCCATCTAATTAAGGGCCTTGGTATTTTGCCATAACAGAACCCTTAGCTTAGACCTCCTAGTGATATCATCTTGATGAAGGATGATGGATAGACCTTTCTACCGGTCACGTGGTTTGAAATGGGTAGAATTCAAAACGGCTGCTCAAGCATATGACCACGTGACCAATGTACAACCTATGAGCTTCAAGCTTAAAAGGTCTATCGAGGCAGGAATTAAAAGAGATACTTGGAATCCAATATCTACAGTAATTAATCTCATGCGAAGGTTGCTTGATTCTTGTTCCTTATATTTGGAATAGGCACAGGCCTGGACCTGCTTTCCAAGTTTGGTTCTCCGAATGTATTGTATATCATTGTTTCATGATCTGGCAATGGTCTTCTCTCATCGTCATCGTCTCCTTCGTTGTTGCCGTTGTTGTTGTTGTTGGTGTTGTTGTTGGTGTTGTATTTTCCCCGCACTAAACAACCCGCGAAGACCAGAAATAAACAACCAAAAACAACTGAAACCGCGACATAACCGGCTGGGTTTCCTACCAATTGACATAAGAGAGCAAAGTTAACTTCCTATGAGGCATTTTTCAAAAAAGTCAAAAATTATTTAAAACAGAAGGCATCATTTCATTCTCTTCATCATAATTAGTGGTACTTTTTTCAAAGAGAAAATTGTCCTAAGCCGCGTAGTCAACTATAACTGGAGAAAAATACTACCCAAAACTGGAGAAAACATATCAACAAAAAAGTTGGTTTCCAAGAAAATTAGTGATATAAAAGATGAGAAACGCAATATGATTATCACAGTAACTTGAAAATCATTAAATTTAACCGGCTGATAAACGCTTAAGATTAAAGAATATGAGTCGTGTCGATAGTCTGCGCAGCTAGTGGTTTTGCGTCTGTCTTAGAGACCTTAAAGCTCAAGCTACGAAGCCGTGTAAAAATTTTTTTGGACTTACCCCCTCCAGGAATATCAGGAGGAATCCCACATGCGTGCTTGTGATACAGCTCAAATCTCTGAAGAATTGAGAGAAGGCATGAAGAAGCTCTCCATTCGAGCATTTAATATCTGATTAAACTATTCACCTTCTAATGGTTTCTATTGTCTTATCCAGATCTTTTACTGTAACTATTTCCTTTAAGTAAATTCACAGAGGCTCGTCACAGTTGTCGATGTTTTTTTCGATCGGTCCTGTGATTTCAATGGCGTCATTAGTTTCCAAACTGTTTATGAAAACAAGTGACTTTCCTCATTCGACAAAAGGTACGGGGAGCGAATCGAATTGCCATATCAGTGGTCCCGCGAGGAAAGATACTACTATTCCCCCCGTTGGGAAAGTTGAGTTTAAAACCCCTGTTAAAAACTTACAGCCGAGGTGGTGAAAATTTGATTGCTCGACTCTACACCCTCCCGAAATCCTTTCTGTTTGCTCCAAAAAGCCTATCTAAGATTCTTGTGCTGCCTTTTATCGATTGAAATTGGGTACTTTTGGCTTGCCTCCAACAGTAGAGCCTACGACAAAATAGTCCCTGACAGAACCAAACTAAATATGGTATCAATATACAACCGCGTACCTATCAATGAGTAAAAACGATGGATTGCTAATAATCTCTCGCTAATAGTGATTTGTAGACTATTAACTGACGGTTTCCTTTGAGTAAAGTATAAGATAAATTTTGAATATTATCAACTGTTACTGGGTCATTTTTTATTCTACAGTCGAAGGCGCAATCGCGAAATGATTTGTTTCTTGCTTTGGAGAGGCCTCTTTTGGTCAACTTGAGCTCTTCTCGAAAATTTGTCGAAAAATAATTTACCCAGTTTGAGTCTTCGTTGGTTACCAGGAACTTCGCATCATTCTGGTGCACTTTGTCTTCGTCACACTTCAAAATGACAGTTGATGACCGACTCCTGTATTCTCTGAAATAAATACTATAATTACTCACTAAAACATCTACAAGTTCCATTGGGAAGGGTTGGCATAAAAGCAAAGAATAGCCAAAAACTGTCTACATGTTCGTTAGCAGGAACAGTCAAACATCGATTAACGAGCTGATGTTTAGCCACTTTCAGACAAACGGATTTAGCCCGGCTCACTGAGTTTATAATTTTTATCTTAAAACACAATAGGCCACCATTAAATTCACGATGTAAAACTTTGAATAAGCACTGCATAACCAGTCATAAAGATAAATATTCATTAACATGTTCACCATTATTAACGATGCTCTCGAATGTTTCTTTCACTCATGCACAACTATCGCGCTGTTTCAGCTATTTCGCTCCGTTTCACTGGGTAAGGATATTGTTTCACCTTAAAAGGGGTCCTTTGGTATCAAAGATAAAGCTGATAAAAATAACTGGAAAAACAGTAATAGGAAAAAAAACACTACCCATCTGATATTATGTACTTTAGATGAACGGCATCATGTCTTATTGTGCATCTTGGATTCCCATTTCCAATCGAGCGAAATTCATCGCTCTTATTTCCACCCGTGGGCCACCTACAAATCTTAACGATAGTAACACCATTGGCACATTAATATTTAACAGCCATAAAATAAATAAAGCTTGATAATAGAAGAGGATACACAATAAAAATTGATCAGCGAACAAAAACCGTAAAAATCGCTTTAAAGTGGTTGGGATACCCGCGGGATAGTTTAGGGAGAATAGGGAAAAATTGTTATTGTCGAAGTAATATTCATAGCATTAAGTTCTCTTACGTCATGTACTTGATCATTTTGCCCCGTACAATTTTTGCAAAACAAAATCAGACCTAGAGGTCGCATAACACTCTGATAGAACTATTCAGCCCAAAACTATTCAAAGGCAAAAAACTTGAAAACTAATGCAGATCAAACGATAGTCATAAAACAATTGCCTTTAAAAATATCGTCATGACGTCGTCCAAGTTACAACAGAGCGGGCTGCAGCCATGAACAACTGCTTCGTTCTGAGCGGAATTCATCAGTACAGCTCTAATTGTATAAATACCCCTCACGGAACAGGTGACCTGGTTTGGGGTTTAAAACAGATTGTGCAGGTTTAACCGTACATATTCATCTACTAACCCATAGTTACAACCGTTATGGGTAAAGTTGGATTAGGCACGGCAAGCTGCTACTACCTCAGAAAATAGTTTCTCTTCGCCTAACTTGCGTAAAAACCATTTTAAAAACGAGGCACCGCTATGTTGGAGGAGTGAATTTAGTTACAATGGCAGCCAGGCAGAAAAATATGCGTTAAGGACAAAGACTAGCAGAATCCTCTATTTATGTAGAGTTAGGAAATTACAAAGACTACTCTTTCATTCCTACAAGCCTGTTTCGTGATTACCCACTCATCAGGGGATTTTATTGACAAGAATATTCGTAACCATCGTTTATGTGCGACACAAATTTAGGAAATTACAATTGAAGACTATGCCGATTCGCTGGAAAGTAACACTAAGAGGAGATGCATTGAGAAGATATCTTTTATTGGCATCGATGTGCTCTATTATAAATCAGTTGGTGCTTTGATGCATGATGTCGACCAAGATCTTGTACCTTTAAATCTGAAGAACCTATTCACCAGGGTAGCTTCGATTCACTCATAACAACAGAGCAAAAATTTCAAGGTAAATTTCATGTTATTCATTCACGGACAAAACCACAGAACCAATCCTTGTTAAGGCTTGGAGCTAGAATCTGGAACAAAATCTCCGAGTCTTTGAAATCAAAACCAAAGTAATCATTCAAAAACCCTTCAGACTGAATTGTTGCAATTTTTTTCTGGTACATGAGGGGACTTATGCTAATGTATATAATCTTGCTGATAAATTAATCCTTAATTAGATTAATCCTTAATTATTTTTATCAAAAAATAATATCTATTCGCCTTCCTTTCTTAGTATTGTTCTCATTTATTCCTTTCTTTTGTATGTGATGATCTTGTTCTCTCTTTATGTATCAATTTTCTAGTAGATATGCATATGTATATGTTTTTCCATATTTCTTATTTTATGTTGTAGAGATCTTATATGTGACTCTACACCGCCTAGGTTAGCTATGTGCTTTACGGAGTACAGTTACCTCCCTTTCATCGGTGAACTTTCATTAGCTATTAATAATAGTAATAATAGCAGTAAAATATGTAGTTTAACTGCTTGAAAAAATTTAGATTTAGATTTATTAAATTTGCTCCTATTTCATTTCATTTCATTCGCAGCAGAAATACACCCATGCCCAGAATGTCTTCCTCTTTTTGAAGCGTGTGATCTCCTATCGTACCTCGAACTCGTGACCAGCTTCTACACGAAGGATCAGTTTAAAAAGTTTAGGAGTTTTCTGGCGTATATCCACCTGCTATCCGGGTTTATCAAAAGTGTTCTTATACAATCCTCTTATAGCCATCCTCTTAGAGCCTACTTCCCTGAGACCAAGATCACGAGGTATAACTTGCAAAAGTGAGGAATTCTCAAAGAATGAATGATCCTCATGTGCACCTATGGACCATCACAACAAAAGGACCTGGCGCTTGTTAACGTCTCTTTATGACGTTTATCGTTCGCCAAACCCATACTCTCGTACATTAATTGAAAACTTAAGTTCGTAGTGGAAGGGGACAGGAAGGGCGGTGAAAGGGGTTGTGAAATTGTATTAAATGCTCCTATTGCAAACGTACCGCTGCCATATTTGTCTTGTTACATTCGCCTCCTCTCCAGTGCCATTTGCAGGGATTGTAGCCGAAATACCATGTTCCATCGTATTTTGATCCTTTCCTGCGGAACCTGCGGAGGAATTATTTGGATGGATACCATGGCATTCCGTTGCGGACAAAATATCCACATGGTAAAATATGAAATCAGAAAACAAAAAGGGATCTAAAAGCAAACTATCAATCGAACCACATAGATCATTAATTCGGAAAGTTCAAACGATTGATTTAAAATAATATTTATCAAAACGACGAGTGCTACAGCGATACTTCGGAGGGAAAGAAGAGTCGAAATGTCAAAAGAATATTCGAAGTTGAGAAAAAGGAGGAGATTGCTAACCAGTTGTGGCACCAGTTCGTTGATCCATGCACTAAAAAGTCTTAATTATTTCTTCCCCCGATCGTGACAGTAAAGCTCAAAGCGTTTTGGTTTTTTTGTTTTTTTTCATAGTTATCAAGGCGCCGAAGGGAAAAAATCAGGAATTTTCAAAAAGTTATATTTCAAAGTTCCGTCACTACAGTAAAAGACTAGCAAGAGAACAACCAACTGTCATTTTTATTGTTACCTCAACCCCATATGCATGATTCAACGAGCTTGTGTCACAACTGATCAGCGTTCGCCCTCTTTTTCTCGACATAGGATTTTTTTCCCTGTTTAACACTTTAATTTTCTTTTTTCCGCCGAAGTATCACTGTAGCGCGCGTCGTTTTGATAAATGTTGTTTGAATCAATTATTTGACTTTTCGAGAAACGGATTTTTTATTTCGACTAACTCTGATTACACTTTCCTTTACTGACTTCTTGTTCTACATGTATCATCTGGATATTTTTCACGCCACGGAACGCTATAAGATACGTTTTAATGACGAATGGGCTCTCGAAACAACCCTTTCTTAGTGAAAACAGGTTGAATGTAGAACTCTCCACGACCGTAACTTGTTATTACAGTAATGAGAAGGAAATGCATTTCTGCATTTCAGTTGAAAGATTACAAACATGATGAAAGTTGTCTTCTCAATTACTGAAATAATAATTGAAAGGAACAAGCATGTTTTCCACTATGCATCAAATTACCCCTGTCACGACTATTCTTTCCTTACCACTTGTTCAGCAATGTAAGATTATATGTGTAATTGTTTTCATCGCGCCAAACACAGGGCTCGTGTTGGAGATGGCATTTATATATCACTTGTGCCTCTCGCCGTGCTGTGACATTAGGATGATGACTCTCAAAAGAAGTATGCAGGAAAACCGTCCACCATAAAAACTTTATGCAGCTCATCCTTTTGCAACGACTAAAAATTGAACAAATAAATTAAAAAATAAGCCAGGTCAAACGATGAATGATTTTTTTTTTCTTATCTGAGCATTACAAAATGAAGTATTGGTATGTCCAGTAAAATCTTAACCATCTCCTAGAAGCAATTTGCCTTTGGATATTATATTGTACAACTGTTTATAAAGGTGACAGTGCACAGAGGAGAGCAGTGAAATAACGCAATCAGTTAATAGCATAAAAAGTATTTCGGTTTCTTCTTGTTTGACATTCCTCAAAACAACAATGCCCTTTCTATGCACTTTCGAAACGTCATTCGGAATAATCTCCGTCGCTTATTTTCATCCAACGCTTGTTATCTAAAACCTCTGATATATAAAACAAAGATCAACACTTTAAATATAAAACAGATCATCACTTTAGCCGTGATTTTAGAGCATTTGGTTTCTTTCCATTTAAGATTACTAGAAGAGAAGTGTACCCTTTATTGGGCGTAAATCGCTGGTTCTTGAAAGAGTCAAACGATCTGAAGGTTCCCACATCGATTCATATCAACCACATGGAGAGACTTATTTCGGAACAGAAAGAAACGAAAATGCTAGAGCACGTCAAGTTTCAGGTGACACTATGTCACGCTGTAACGCTAAAC